TTTCCCTACTTTAATCAAAATTTCTTTTAAACCGTGTTAATTTTAAATGATTCAGAGTTCATCCTCTGGCCACTTTGATATGCAAACAGTGAACTGGACCAACACCACAAACTCCAGGCAACTCCATTCACTGCAGCCTAAGTTGTGTGTTTGTAACCTGTAAACTGCAGTTTCTTGGGCCGCACTGCACTGACATGATATAATGTAGGTAAAATTGAACAGATTGAAGATGATGGCAATGAGAGAAGCTATAGAACATACACTGTCCTTGTGTTCATATTCAATCTGACTTCTGTTTCACACTCTAACAGTAAATGGAGTGGAGAGACAGAAGAGGGGAAGGGTTTATTCTGTGTGTTGGAAATCTGCCCTTTCTAATGATTCAACCAAGCTGGCCTGTATTATTCTAGTCTGATGTCATTGTTTTGGCAAGATTTGAAACTGACACTGCAGTTTGGAAGTTCTGAGATAATTGATGCCAGACGAGTATCACCAAGGGACGAAAACTTTTAAAAAATTTATTATTTTTATTAACAAGTGACTATGGATTCAGAATCACCTCCTGATGTTTTTAAAAATATTTGTCTTGTTATGAAAACGCTGTTAGCTTTTGAATTAAACATATGAAAGTTTAGCTAGAGATAGATAAATTTCTGCTTAACCTTTTCCCCACCCCCAAAAGATAGCATCAAAAGACACACCCAAGCATCAAATGACAAACACAAGTATACATATACAAACATGCATCCTGGCAGAACTGTTTTTTACAGCCTGTTCACAAGCAAATTTCTGAAGTTGTGAATATAGTTCAAGGGCTCGCAATTGTAGCTTTTAATTATACAGCTGATCACCAAGCTCCCTGAGTGACTGACATAGCATAGCACACAACAGTTTTCTGGGGATAGTTCCTAACAGTAAGTGACCCTTGAATTATCTTCAACCCATGGCACATCCACTTGTTCTGAATACTGCCTTACAAGGAATTACATAATGTTGCAACTCCCCTGCTGATATCTTAGAGACCAAAAAGACAATGCTAAAGGAAAGGCACTTTCCACTTCTCTTTGCCTTTCTTTCATTCAGAGACTATGACCTGAGGTATCTCAATAGGCTGAAATCCACGGACAGCAGATGGGGTGGTGAAAAAAGTATTAGGTAGTTCCCCAGGGCTGATGGAGCCAGAGTCACTTTGCACTGAGCCTCTACTGTTCTCAAACTGGGATATTTTCTTTTTGATCATCTTTCTCTCCTTGGCTCTGCGATTCTGAAACCAGATTTTCACCTGAAACACAAAATGCTTTGGATTTAATGGGGCAACATACTGAATGCACTTTTCAGTCATTGCTGATATTGTTCAGGGATTCTAGTATTTACAAAGTCCTTTCACATGCATTGCTTAATTGAGCCTCACAATGATCTTGTGAAGTATGCCCATTTAACAACAGGTTTAAAAAAGGCTGAGACTCAGAGGGAAAGTATCTTGCATGAGATGAAACTGAAATCAAGTCCAGGGCCTCAGACTCTGAATGCAGTGCTCTTTATATTATACCTCACCCACCATCTCTGTTGTGCAGGTAGAAATAAATAATGATAGAATGGCAGATGCTGAGCCATGGTGATAAAAAGGGAGGGATTTAAATAGCAAAGGTGATTATGATCTATCATTAAAAGAAGTTAGGTTGTTAGAACAGAACTGGGTGAACAAGGGTGATGAAATACTATATCTCTTGCTGTGATACCAATGTGCCTTCATAAATGGTTGAAATGCAGGCTTCTTGGGATACAGCAATACATTAATGGACTTTACAGTTCTAGAATCTTATGATTTCCAGGTTTACTCCTAGACCTAAGTAAAAAACAAATCAGGTAGTTATGTAATGTCAAAATCTGGGTGAGTGGAAACCACTGATCCTTGCCATGATTTAATCTTTACTGAGTACCCACAGTAAGCTAAATTTGAGGCAGGAATCATAGGATTACATAGACCACAGAAAATTAAATTCCTACCCTGAGTAATAGAAAAACTTGCTTCAGGTAGCAGTATTGGTGTTCATTTACTGTTACAGTTTGACTGATATGAACCAGATAATTGCCATGATTGACAGATTTCCACTTCACATATTGATTATGACTACTTGGGGAACCATATCAAGGTTTTGCCCTGACTGATCAATTGTATGGGAGTTTTAATCCTTCTCCTCCCCCTGCGTCCCCACCCTTGCTTTCACACCTACACAGTGCCCACCACATTCAATCATTAATAAACCCATCAACCAACGGTACTAAACTAGGTGGTCCAGTAGGATAAATGTGGGCTTTAGGAGAGCATTGAGAATGGCTTGGTCTTCTGTTTTGCTTCCACTCTTAGTTACAGACTTCCCTAAAACCTTAGCTTATTGAAATGCTTATATGAAATGTGTTAGAGGTACTTCTGGTGTACCTGTCTCTCAGAAAGGCCCAAGTTGACTGCCAGCTCTGATTTTCTCCGAATGGTGATATATCTATTGCAGTGGAATTCCTTCTCCAGCTCCAACCTTTGATGATCTGTGTAAACCACACGATACTTTTCTTTTGTCCTGGTTTTCCCTGTTAGAGGAGAAAGCAGTGCATTTAATCATATTTTGCATCTTTGGAGATTGTTTTGGTTGGAGGAATCATAGTCATTGTTCCTACCCTTAGCTATTACTTTCAAATATAAAACAAGTACATTTTTTAAACCACATATGTCATAAGTCCATTTCTCCATTAATTACTTTGTCATCTGTGGCTATTTTACATATATATATATATTCAACACATCTATCACCACCATTGATATACTGTTACACCAAAGCATTTTAAAGCAAACAGTTAAGCCATGATTTTCATTCCCTTCACACTAACATATGGGAACAGCATTGTCATTGTCAGTAGTAGCAACATTCATTATACATGCACTTCCTTTTATATTGATATTTTATGCAGTTCATTTATATTATTTCCTATTTAACCTCTCACTTACCCTTTCAAATTATGCAGAATGTGTCTTATCCCCATGTTGCAGATAAGGAACATGAGGCTCAGTATAGGTAAGTAAGTGGCTTTGTGCTAGTGAGCTGAGGAGTGGGGACCCAAACACATACCCTTGGTTCCCAGTCTGGTGTGCCAAATGTTATTCCTGATTTAAACATGCTGGGCAGCATAAGAATGGCCCAAGTGAGGCAGGCTGTTTTGTGATCCTGACATTCTAATTACATATACATTCTAGAATTTCATTTGGATAGTAATTTTAAAAGAAAACATCTATTGTCACTTAGATTCTGTTCTAGGATAGCCCCTATTACTTATTAGAAAAAAATAGTTTAGTTTTCTGGGGAGAGTCTTAAACAATTTTTTATTCCCAAGTGGATAATGAATGGGGGAAGTAGGGGGTGTTGACTTTAGCAGAATAAAATGGGTATTCTAGTATTCTTTGAAAGGATATACAAACATTTGCTTTGTGTTACCACGTTTAACTAATTTCTCATGCCCTCCTTCAAATAGAGTTTTATTCCTCCTTTCAAATTTTCCAAAGGTGATTAGGAAGTTTCTCTTTCTTTTCCATTTTTCTAACCCCCTCCAGGATCTTCATCCTTTTCTCTATGGCTTTTGGCAAACTCCTTCTGATCTTCCCTGGTTGTTTTTGATGTGAAGTTTTGGGGAGCGATCTGTAAGACAAAGCTTTCTTTAAAGTGTTTCTCTAAACTCCATTGAGGTGTTAAGATGCAGCACAAGCTTAACAAAGGAGCTACATAGCATCAGATCCCATCCTGAACCCTCTTTACATTCAGGAACACCAGCAAATTGGTTTGGAATTTACAAGCCCTAAACAAATGTCAGACACTC